TTTGTAAAGAGTAGGAATAATAGATGCAAACTGCTTAGCCCAAACCTCAGCACACAGTAGGCGCTGAGAAAGTGGTGGTTCTGGTCTACTTTTATCACATGGGATATTGAGCCCCATATGGAAAATGTTTGATTTTTGTAGAAGGTACATTTTTCATGTGGCCATTGCTTTTAGAAATCCTCATAAAGGTAAGAACAAATGTGAAAATGCTACCAAATGAGTTAAAAAAATTCTGATTGCCCGAATTTCTAACAACTTTCTAAAAAAGTTCAGGTTGCCCTAGGACAGATGCACAAACTTAAAGCATACTTTCAGGTTTCTCATAGAAAGGGTATGTATTGGGATACAAAAATGTGTTGTTTTCATGTATTTATTCTCTGTAGTTTATACCATGTAAATGCATAAAAACTCTACTTTTGGAAAGAATTCAATATTTACCTTTTTTTTAAAAAACAATTGACTGAATCTTGACTTAATGCTTATACCCAGGTATTTGAATGGCAGATTTCTAATAACCTTAATTTTTAGTTGATTTTATCTAGATGCCAGGATTATTTCTTTTTTTTCACATATTTAATGGAAAAAATCTGTATTATAGGTTATCGTTGCATTAAACATGGTAGTTTTTAGTAAGAAAATAACTGCAGAACTAAGAATCACATGGTTAACATGAAAGGAATGAAGTGGCCTACTATTAGGGTGTGGGGGAAACCTGCAGTCTCCCGTCCTTTTAAACACTGGTCTCATGAATAGAAGAAAAAAGCCTTGTTTGAGAAGCAATACAATGTTGTGATGATAAAGCTGTGTGAGGTTTTTTTCATTGTGTGTGTGTGTGTGTGTGTGAGCCTGTGTGTTTTTTATTTATTAGACATGGTTGATAATGCAGCAATTACTGTGTAATGCAGGATGTTTATATGGGAGGTCTTTAAAAATGAAAGGTTCTCCCCTGCTTGCTATCCTAAAAATATTTTAGATAATTCTCTGAATGTGTGTTTTTAGTTATCACATACTAGTGAAAGTTGACATTTTTTAAACATCTGAAACCACGTTGAGGTGGTGCTCCAGGGAGAGAAATACTGAGAAAAAGCTTCAGCAAAGATGCTGATGTAGCAACTTCAGACGTGATGTAGGAGGTCAGATAAAATAACCTCTAATCCAAAACAGTTCTTTACCAAAGAACTCTTACCTCCCTCCTCCGCCCATTTCAGGTGGGGAGGAAGTTTTAGACAAATGGTGTTATCTGATGATCTTGGATAACTAATTACCTGTTCCTGTTTATGTCTGAAATAGTTAAGTAGTTCAGTAGGCCCTAATGTTTTTTACCTGTCTTGTTCTAAACGGAGAAGCACTTGAGGATTCCACGTCTAGAAGGATGCTTGCTTGTATCCCAAGGAAGCTTTAAACATGACCACACATACTTGTGTGTGTGCCTGTGTAATTCTTAGTTATTATACATGGTCGATTATGGATCAGTTAGTATGTAACACTTTTAAATGTGTTGCTGCCCGTATGAGATAGTGTATGAGTATTTATGAATACCTTCCTTCAGGGTAGGGTTAAAAGCTTTACAGTCATATGAATATAGTTCCTTGAGCTATGTTAAGATGTTTGTTTTTGACAGTATTGTGCTCCTTGAGGGGTGTTTTCATCGTAATCGGAATGGACAAGACCCTCACCTGCTAGCATGGAAGAACCTAGAAAATTTAGGAGTTGATATACATTGAGAATCAAAATTTCTTGAATTATGTGTTCTATGCAAGAATCTCTCCCTCATGAAGACAGTACTGACCAGTTTTAGACACAAAAGTGAGTTGTTGATAGCCAGATTTGGAATGAAGTGCAAGCTGATAGAATTCAGTCCTGGACAGTTCCCCACAAAGGCTGAGGCTCCAGAGAGGTAAGATCTCTTGGTTTCTGATGGTCATCCTGTGTGACCCTGTCGAAATCCAGGAAAATTGAGTCTTTTTCCTTTTCTGTCTTTAACCAGAACTACTTTTATATTCTTGAATATTTTATTTAATTTGTAAGATGTAAGAAATAAAATTTGGACAGGCCTACAGAGCTCTGTTGGCAGGTGACTCCTCCCTGCAGAGAAAAATATGACATGAATGGTAGATATTTTAAATAAAAATAGCCTTGTCCTATGCACTTAGTCCTCCTTTGTGACAAAGAAATTAATTTGCTTTGCCAGTTATAGTTGTGTCTATACCCTTTTCTGCTCCTGCTTTTTTCAAAAGGTTTTAGGGGCCCTACCTACCTTAGATTTAGTGATTTTTATAAATATGATCCACCATTGTGGTTAAACAGTGAGTTTCCTGATTTTCTTTGCTAAGACAATTTGCTCTTCTTTTTAGTGATTTAATACTTTAAACTTAACCTTAGTTCATTTACGTAATAAATACATATTGGACCGTCCTTTTGTGATAGGCACTATTCTGGACTCAGGGAAATAGCCAAGTCGTAGTCTGTACCTCCAAGAGCTCACAGTGTAGTGGAATAGCTCTCTTAGGAAATACTAACATTGTGTGAGTGGCATTTGGTGATGTGTGTATCCCAATCCCTTTTGAAGGAGTACTTCCTTCTCTTGGGGCCTCTGCTCCTCATTTGTTAAGTGAGGAAGTTGGTCTAGATGATATCTAAAGTTCTTTTCCATTCAAAACATCCGTAATGTTTTGGAAGTTGGAAGCTGGCTTGCCCTTAGAGCCCCGGGCAACTCCACACACCACGTGGGTATATTATAGAAAGTTTTATGAAAGAGTTATTTGGCAAGAATAGTGACATGGATAGGTGTGGATAGTATCAAGTGTTTCAGGAAAGTCAAATGAGTTAAGGACAAATTTTGAGGGTCTTTCTTAGTAATTAAGAAGACATTTCTGACCATAATATGACCAGTTTCAGCAGAACAGCAGAGCAGACTTGCATCCCTTTGGGTCAGGTTAAATTAGTGCACATGCTGGCTGCCTGTTCTTTGAGACGTTTTCAGTCTTGAGGCAGCATTAAAGTGGAAGTGTTAAAGCTTGGCCACTGTGGCTTCTAAGGCAAGCAGCCAAGACTTACTGTCCTATACTTGTTTCTAACTGTGAATTTCCCTGTGTTAAGTTGTTCCCCTAGGTCATTTATCTAGCATCTGTATTGTTAAATCAATCAGATGAGTGAACAAATACTGTGATACAATTTAGAACAGATGATCAAAACCTAGGAATTTTTCATTTTGCTTAATTGTCACTTCAGAAAAAGATGTCTTCCCCAGCAGCAGAAAAAATAGCTATATTTTTGTGAAGAGTAAACTGATATCTTTGTATGCTTTTACTGGTAGAAATAATTTCTTTCAAGTAACAGGAATATGGCTGGTTTACCTCTTAAAGGAAATAGGAATGCTGCTTTATCTAGATGAGCAGGATACATGTACTTAAACTGTTCCAATCTTTAGAATCTCTTGTCAAACCTAAGACAAGAAGTAAGTCTACCTTTTTTAGGTTTTCTAATACCTGTTGTATTCTTTCATGGAAGAAACAACCACATGGGGTAGAGCAGAATTTTTTAACCTGAGATTCTCCTATGAACTCTGTAGAGAGTCCAAGTTCCCCGTGAAATTGTATGGAACAGTTTCACCTGTGCATTTTTCTGGGGAGAGGATGCATGACCCAAAAAAGTTAAGAACTTTGGCTCTAGAGAGGAAAAGGAAAAAGAAATTTAAGAATAAAAAGACCTTTCACTTGTCAAAACTGCCACTGTAGCACTAAGAATTGGAGGAGTGTGAAACAAGTGCTGTATTTTTGGTTTGGCTTTGTCAGTTCGCCAGATTTTACTGTATAGAAAACCTAAGAAAATAGATAGTGAAAGTTCTGCTGGCCCCCAATGGATTTTGCCTTAGGTGACTTCCTAATCATTAGTTACAGTGCTGTGTCAAAAAAAATACATAGTAATGTATACTGTATTCTTAATATCCTTCTTACTGTGTGCAGAAATGGGTTTATTTACTTATATCTGCTATTTTAAGTTTGTTTTCTTTCCTACCTTTGTGCTCACAGTAAGAAAATAAAACTAAAGAAATTTTGAGTATTTCTTGAAGATACTGCAATAAACTCATGTTTTCCTCCAATTAAGAGCACCTAGCTGTAATTTACAGTAAAATAATAACTTTAGTTTAAAGGAAGAAGATAAATCTTTTTGCTTCAAAATACATATCTGCTTAGGCTGAGGCACTGTTTTGAACACCTCTATGAGCAATCAGTAACTGGAGATTTGCTCCCAGTGTAATTTCCCCTGTCTCTGGTGGAATATAATATGTGATTTTTAAGACTTTGCTTGCAAATAAGCGTTTTCTTTATTGTTTGAGTTAAAAGAATCTAAAATTTATCATATTTAGTTGGCAGAGGGTTACAATAAACCATGTATGTAATCCACTGCTAGTCTGGCCAGTTTGACAACTACATTTTAAAATCTGTTTCACTGCTTGTTTTTCTTACAACATTGTTTCCTGCTATTATAACTAAGCTGTCCTTCCTTGCAGTTTGACTATTTTTCATCTGACATCTTAGAACGATCCTGCCAGTGTTTCCTAATAAACAACACATTTCGAGTGGTTATGCCTTATTTCTGTTCCTCCTTGTGGTATATACCCTGTTCACCTGTAGTCAACTCTGTTGGAGCAGAGTGGTTTTGTCACGGTGATTATTTTATGATTGTATGAAATGGGGGGCAGTTTTTGAGAAAATGTTTGAGCCAATGGTAGAACTGGCATATGTCACTAAAAGTTCTTTAGTTTGCTTCCTACTTTGTCATACCAGGGAAGACTTCAGTTCTTCCCACTTCCGGAAAGGAAAAGGGATTGGAGAACACTGAAGGAAAAGAAGCCTTATTTTTACCCCAAAAGTAGCTTATGTAATGTCAGGAATGGCTTTGATGAAACCACTGGCCTTACTTATAGACCTTATTTTCCAAGCCTTTCATTATATTATTTGCCCTTTTCTGAACTCTACAATTTCCCTCTCTTGTAGCTGGTTCGATGCCCCGAACTGAATGCTGAGCTCCAGCTGTGGCCTCACCGGTGCTGAATAGAGAGGAAGAGCCACCTTCATAGCTTACATGTGATTCCTCTGCTTATACAACCCAATACTGGATTTACTTACTTTGGCAAGATAGCTGCATTGTGCACTGTATTTAATGTTACGTGTACTGTAACCCTGGGTCTTTCTCTGCATTGCTGCCGTTAAACCCCCAATCCTGCCAATCTAAAACTCCTGCCTTTGTTTCCCTGCCCGCTGCCCCATAGACTCCCCTACATTCATCCACAATGAATGTCATCTTTATTCTTTCATTTCCTCTTACTCTAATCTTAAATTTTGGCAGAACTCTTTCTCTGTCTATAAAGTGTTGGTTGTCAGCCATCTTATTTTTCTTTCTGCTTTGGTAATGGGACATCTCTCAAGTCTCCTCTCCTTTCCTCCTGTAGTCATTAAATACTTGACACGGTGGACTTAAGAAAACATTCACCTGGCATTTCTTCCATATCAGATACCTGTGAACTCCTCTGATTTGACCACCTAGTTAAATGGTTGCCTACAATTTAGTTGTTCTCTCCAGATTTTCTTGATGCCTCCTGACCCCTGTGTCTCTGACTTCATTCGAGGTACAGTATTCTCTCCCAGCATCTCCTCCAGGGAGACAGTAATACTGATTTACCACGGAAATTTCTCACAATGAGGAGAGTGGAGTCTTCTTAATTGTGCATAGAATAGTCTTTACTAATTTTAAGCAAATTCTTTGCCCCCTGAGATCTAAATTTTTTTAAAATGCTAGGGCTTAAGTTACTATACATTTCTAAGCTGAGGGAGGTGAGGGAAGAGGGAAGGGAAAAGGAAAGGTTTTTGTGTTGAATAGGCAATGATTCTCCAAGAAAGCCAAAGCGAGGTTCTTGCTGGGTTTGGTACGGCTGTGAAATGGGAAGGAAGGCCTCACTTTTCCTGGGCACTGGAGCAATATCTCAACCACAGGTGAGAGTAGGTTTCTAAGCTGGTTTATTTAGGACTGTCAACACATACAATTATCTAATTCTATGCCTTGGTTAATCATTTAGGATATAGAAAGTATAACCTTTTCTGATTTATTATGGGTGATAAAAATTGGAAGGTCTCCATGATCTTTTATCCATTTCTAAAAATCCCTCTAGTTTAACTAAATTCTAGTGTTACTTCGAGTGGCAGTCAAGCTGATGTTTGAGTTCTTACTATTTTTATTTTATGTCTTAGTTGATATGTCCTATTTAAACAGCCTCTCCTTGGATCTGTGGTCTTTACTGAACCCAGAAACTACCTCTTATGTGGATTTTTGTCCTGAGAGAGTTAAAATCAATTTGAAAATCTTTTAAATGTTATTTCAATACCTCAAATTCCTATCATATGGACTTAGAAGTTACCATTTTTCTTCAGACCCCTACTAGTTATTTTACAAATCGGCATATCACACTATTAAAGTGTATTATAAAAGTATACTACAAAATAAGAGGTGGCAAGATCTGTTAGCCTTTCTTGATGAAATATGAAATACATCATCTATTCTTCCTTCTCTAAAACCATTAGATATTGCTAGTTTCCTTACTCACAATTCCATTAAGTGAAATTATAAGCTCAATTTGGTGGTTTCAAGAAAGTAAATTTTTTTCTGTGGTTTCCCACCATGTATATTGTCAAAGCTAGGTGGCTTTGCTTATGCCTGTGTCACATCCTGAGAAGTATGGCACCTTTCTTCAAAGAAACGTTAGTTTTATTCCTTGACTTCTGAAATAACCCTCAGTGGCAGATCCAACTGGGTTCTTTTGTGCGCTGAGTGCTTTTCTCTAGGCAGTCAGTCAGCAGTGAGCAGTGGTGTGGTTTCCATCTCCATTTATGGCCTTGGGAAGCCAAAAGGGACATGGCCGGACTCTCCATTTACGGTGCTTGGAGGAGTTGACAAGAGTGGTTGGGGTGTTCTTGCAGAAAGGAGACATTGTGAGATAAAAATAAATTGGCAGGAGATGTTTGCAATTCAAATTCCAATCCCTGCAGGGAGGGCAGAGGGCACTGGGAGAGCGGAGCCTGTGGGAAGTCAGAGGAGTTCTGCTGCGGGCCGTTGTCTCCTTCCATTGGAAGGGCTGCCCGAGTCCATTTCTGACTTGTTCTAGAAAGTTTTGTGTTAGGTGGTTGTGACTGTCCTTTACAGAGAGAAGAAGGACTACTTTTTAACGGTGTAGTATCAGAAATCTCAGTTCTTTATGGCATCATTTGAGGCACCAGAAGAGATCTCAAGAAAGGGGGAACGAGGCAGGTGCCCACGCAGGGGCAGGCTGGCTGGTTTTAGGACCAGATGCCAATCGCGGCTCTACTTGTGTCTGAGGAAGATCATTCATGTCTTGCTTTAATGATTCCTTGTGCTAATCTGGATTTCTGACCTCAAGGGACAGATCTGCAAAGTATTTGACAGAGTGTCTTCTTATAGTTTGTCAGCTATGATTTCATTATACTGACCTTTCATGGAGCATCTATGAAGATTACTAAGAGTTGTTTTAGTTTGGTGAGAATAGGTGATATATTGACTTATGGAAAGTAAGCTCGCATTGAGGATAAAGGAGAAATGTATATTCTGGCTAATGGGTATAAATTAAGTCTGAGGTGAGCTGGTTTTGTGCTGTTGAGTTGGAAAGTATTTGAAGTCACCAGGGCTTGTCTCTCAAGAAAATTCTCAGGGTGAAACCCAGTAAAGCAGAAGGGAGATTAGAAGGAACGAAGGGAGACAGAGATGGAGTAGAGACTGACTGTAACTAAAATTGGAAGCTTGGACTAAGTCCTCAATTTGTCTCTTGAAATACCACATAAAATAGCATACGATGTACTATTAAACTGAGGAAACTGGGCTAATCGTCAGAAATAATGCGCTAGAAGACCACGAAGAACATTGAAGTGTTGTGCAAGATAATAAATTACCCAGGTTTCATCTGTGGACTTGCATAATGGTATTTATTTGCTCTGTGCCACGAGGCAGAAGAAGAAAAACACCCCTCCACCTCACTCCCCCAAGAGAAGAAATGATTGGCCTCATCTGTTGCTTTGTTTAGCTGGCAGTCGGAGTTGGTAGGATAGACTAGTATCCTTGGCTGATCTTGAGATGTAAGGTATTAGGTATTGTTTCTTGACAATTGAGGTTTGAGACTGGGAGTCTGTAGTGTTACTGATGGATCTCTTTCAAATTTTAGCAACTTCCCCAAAGACAGAGTGAGTTAGTAAGGAATATGGGCTATGTAAGTAATATGTTTTATTAGCTAGTTTGTTTGAGCAATTGTTTTTACCCTGTATTCCTTCTTAATCAAGAGTAAGGATGGTTATCTTTACTTTGGGAAATTCTTCTTTCTGTCCTCCCTTCCCTCACTTTTTCCAAATTCTGGGCACAATAGCAGCTCCTTCTCTTCTGTGGCAGGTGTGCATCCTATTGGCTGGCTGGTATTTCTTGTTTTCTTTTTTTTTTTTCTTATTCTTTTTAAATGGGGGTGGGGGTATAAAATATGTGTATGGGGTACATGCAATAATGTTGTAATGTTTTTTTGTTGTTTAATGAATAATTAATTGCAAAATAATTGTTTGAATTATAATGTTTGAGTAAATGCTAAATTAGTTTTTTTCTAATATAATAATGAATTTGAAATCTAGCATTCCTGTAACAATGTGTCTGTGTTTGTCTGTCTGTGTCTGTCTAATAGTCATTAATATCTGTGGTCCGTACCTGGAAGAGGAAGTACAGCTTTAAAGGAATAACAAAAGACTTTGTGTCTTAGACCCTTCGCAGGTGTTACAGTCGGGTGAAAGAACATGGTGTTGGGAAAAGAAAGAGCAGTTACACATTTGAACAGTTGGAACAGGTGTTTGGTCAGGGAGGATGGGATGCTCAGCCCTGCCAGCCTGTACTTATTAACAGTAGTGGCTTGTACCAGGAGCTGGAGTCAGATGGCAGCACTATGGAGGAGTATTCACAGGAGGACTGGGGAAACCACAGTCAGGATCTCCACGGCTATCCAACAGATCAGGAATTGGGTAAGAAAGACAGTACATATGATACGTATGTTGTGTGTATATGTATCTTTATATGCGTGCTGGTACTGAATATCTGCAGTATCCTCTGGCACTGTTCCCACAGTCAGCACAAGGCATACAGCAGTCTGGGGCATTCTGGGCATCCTTGGGTTAGCTTTACACTGCCAGCTAGTGCTTGGTGTTGCTCATTTGGTGATTTGAGTACCAGTAAAATTTCTGAACAGAATTTGCAAGGGATCTTGGTGACAGGTAGGCTCTCCTGCACTTCCAGTTCTAAGATGACTGCCAACAGTATTGTCTCTTGGCTCAGCTGCTATCGATGTAACTGTCTTTTCCTTCTTTTACCCCTTGTACTTCTCTTTCCTGTTCATGACTTGGAAAAGGTCCCTCCTCCCAGACTAAATCTCAACAAAAAATGAAGGGAGCCTCAGTTTATCTTGAAAAGAGTTGATACTTAAATTTTATCAGTGATCATATTCAAACTTCTTAAAGGATCCCGTCCCAGCAGGAGCTGGAATGATTTATGTACAGTCTTAGCATTAAAAATGGAAAATGAAACTCCTGGCCACCAAATCTAAACTTGTATGGCCTAATGAAGAGGGTCTATGTGGTTTTGCTTCTTTTTGCAATAAATGCTCCAATTTTGATACTCTTGACTTGGAAGTACTGATCTAATTTCTGCTGCCACCATTGTACATTGATAGCAAGTTGCGTGGTGAGTGCTCACGTGCAAATGAGTTCTCACTCCCCAGTGAGGTGTGCAGCACCCTCCAAGGAGGTCTAAGTAGGATTGGCACCGTGAATGTGCTTCCCTTGCTTAAGATGAAGGTCCATGGGTGCTGTTTTACAGAATCCCCGATGCAAGAGAAATGCTAACGCAAAAGAAAAAGGATTCAATGCTAATATTTCTTATGAATGCTGTTTTTTAAAAAAATCTCAAATATTGGAGGAGAAAGGGAGAGAAGAAAGAGGCTATAAAACCATAAGACTAACGCAATGTAAGAGAGAGACTTAAAGATTGGAAGAATAAAAAGGGCAGATGCCAACCAATCACTTCCTCTTAATTTCAGAAGAGTAATGAGGTCTAAATTACTGTGTTATCCCATAACTCTGGATTTGCTGTAGAGAGTTAAGTCCCCCAAACCTTTGGAAAAAAAAACATGCAGAGTATAATTGATCCTGATATTGGAGGAATAATTGGTCTGTAAAACCTGCATGGCAAATCTAGAGTAGAACAGAATTAGTTTCATTCTTGTTCCTTTAAAAATCATGTCTGCAGCGAAATTAAGCTTTAAGCTCCTGGCTGTAAATCCTCTGGTGACCTTGAAGATTTTTATACTTGAAGAGCTGGTTTCTGATCTTGCATATAAATGTATGCATCTCATTATATAAGAGTTATACTTATAAATCTGGCATTGGACAGTGTTTGACAATAGAATTACAGCCTCACATGGGAAAGTATGGAACAAACCATAAACATAGCTCTTTATCTGCATAGACATATACCACCACTTAGGAAAATATAATGTGTTTCAAAAACTCTGCTTTTCAGATGAAATACCTGTCACAAAGAGAACATTAAAAATCAAACAAGAGTCTTCTGAAGAAGCACAGTAAGTAGATGCTTCACCTTTTGCTATAAAGTGTATTTTCTAAGTTTAATGACCATTGGGAAGAGGTAGAAGGTCATTGCTGTAATTAAACGTGCTATGGAAGTTATAGCCACTGAGGAAGCTTGTGTCTAGTCATTCCTTCTCATCTTCTTAGCTTACATTTTCCAACGGTTAATCTGAAATACTGAGAATTTTGTATACCACAAGAAGAAATAAATACACTACCACGAAAATTAAGCATGTTTGTGGTGTTTGCCTGTGTGTGAATGTGGCTATCTGGATGTTTAATTAAGATACAAAGGTGAGTCATAGGGCACCAAGTTGATCTGGGGTTAACTGAAAATCCCAGAGGGACCCCTAAATTCCTCATTACAGTTTGGATATCAAAAAGCAAGCTCTTAGATGACATATTGGAAAAGAAAGCAGTTGCTGGAGGAAGGGCTGAGGAAGTTTAGCGCCAGGGTCCTTCGACTGCTGTTCTCCCTGGTCTCTTTCCTAAGAGGTTAGCAGTGTCTCTTTTGTGAGGACATCACCGTTCTCTGAGTCCAGGGATACTATTTGTGGTTCTTTCAAATAACTTTAAGTAAACTGCTGATTAAATCCAATTAATGAAATGAATATATTAAAAGACAAATTTATGGGGAAAGTGAGGAACACCCCCCCCCTTTTTTTTTCACTTGGTGACCTTGGAGCATGCCTAGAGCCCACTTGTCTTCTGTATTTCATTCCACATATGTGACCTTGCTGTTTGAGAGATGGTGGAGAAAAAGGAAAGGGGAGAGGCTCTGCAGAAATATCTAGCCTCTGCCACCTGTTCTCCAGGTTTCAGCCACAGAGAAATTTTAGAGAGGTTCTTAATAGGCAGTTTATTTTCTGCTGCAGGTTTCTTCACAGCTGTTCCTTATTGACTTAGGACGGTGACAGTACTGAACAAAATAACTGTATTTGAGCATTGGATTTTCCTCTAGACTTATTTCTCACATACCTACTGTATGTCAGGCACTGGGAGTCATCAGTGAGCAAGACAGACAAAAATCTCTGCCTTCCATCCCAACTCCTTAGCCTAGCCCTCCATGAGATCAGTATGACATTTCAAAAGAGGACAAGGAAAGATGTGGCTCTGAAAGATAGTTTTTCTTTAAAGCATGACCCATGAATGGTCCCGTGTCAGCCTCACAGGCAGTCCAGTGTAAGTATTAGTGAGGTGATCGAGTGCCTCAGTGTGCTCTGAGAAGAGGAACAATTAATTCCCCAGGAATGCAGTGGTTTCATCTAGATGGCCACTGTGATACTTGAGAAGCGCTCAGGACAAACTAAAGGGTGGAGGATAAATCCAGGGCAGTCTTTGGCTGCAAGAAGTAGCTGAACAGAGTATTTGCTCTTTGTCATCTCACAAAGGAAGTCAAGGAGAGTAAGAGGACAGACTGAGAATGACTATATGGAAGGTTCCCCGGTTTGTTCTAAAAGCTCTTCCCCTAGAAGATAGAGGAGACTTGAATAGGCCAGTCTCAGGGATCGGTCTCCTTCCAAGAAGCTGTTAGCAAACCAGCATGTCCACCCCCTTTTCTAGCCTCTGTTTGATTGTAAGTGTGGTAGATGAGCTTTTTTGTAGCTTAATGTAGCTTGTAATTGATGTACAATGTAATGGTTTGTTGCTAAGTTAATATTTACCAAACTTCAATCTTCCAATATCATATTTTTTCCATTCCTGAGAAACAGACTTATAATTATGTATCTTAAATGTATATATGAATCATCACGAAGTATCAGCTATAAAATAAAATGATTTCAGCAGCATGTGAAACAAGAATTTCCCTGCCTTTTATGTCTTACTCTGTTAATTATCCAAATCAGAATTGAACTCGTTTCTATACTTTTGCTTCCCTTTATAAAATATTTACTAGAATATTCTCCATTAATTTTCCCTCTTAAAACCTAAGCTTAAAATGGACCGTTTCCATTTAAATCCTCAGATCTTAATTCTGTCCTACACCGACAGTTAAATTTGGGAGTAGTAACACATTTCAGACAAATAGAAGAAAATGTCATTTTGTTCTTATATCATTAAAATCAATAGTTATAATTGGTTGTATATTTTCCTGCAGCAAGCATGTATGGGCCAAAATTATTGAACTTTCAGAATTTCCAGGTTAGGATTGTGTATCAATAGTTACTAAGCTTAATACAGCCAGATTATAGAAGTAATGGAAAGCAGTTTATCATCAATACCTAGAAATTTCCTAAGTGTTTCTCAGATTTCAATACTATGATAATCTAGACCTGCATTATCTAATATGGTAGCCACTAGTCCCATGTAGCTATTTAAATGTAATTTCAAATCATAATTAAATATTTAATGCCTTGCTCAGACTAGCCACATTTTAAGTGCTAATGGCTGCCACGTTGGACAGCACAGATGTAGAACATTTCCGTCACTGCCAAAAGTTCTGTTGGACGGTGGTGATCTAGACACCTGAGGATTTGACTTTTATTTCTCTTTCTAGGAAGAGAGACATCATGCAGAATATTGTACAGATTTTGGAATCAGTACAGTTGAAATGGGAACTATTTCAGAGCTGGACAGACTTTTCAAGACTTCATCTTTCTAATAAACTGGCCATTTTTGGAATTGGTTATAATACCCGTTGGAAAGAGGATATCCGCTACCATTATGCTGAGATCAGCTCCCAGGTGCCCCTTGGCAAGCGACTCCGGGAGTACTTCAACTCTGAGAAGCCTGAGGGACGGATCATTATGACCCGAGTGCAGAAAATGAACTGGAAAAATGTTTACTACAAATTTTTAGAGATCACGATTAGTGAAGCTAGGTGCCTGGAGCTGCACATGGAAATTGACTGGATACCCATTGCCCACTCCAAACCAACTGGTGGGAACGTTGTTCAGTATTTATTACCAGGAGGCATTCCCAAGAGCCCAGGCCTTTATGCCATTGGCTATGAAGAATGTATTGAGAGGCCCCCCTCACCCCACATGGAGCGACGGTCCCTGGACCCGGGAAAGGAGGGCCGGGTTGACTTGGAAAGCCTTTCGGCACAAGCCTCATTACAGGTGGAAATAGAACCCACCCGAATTACCTATTGCTACCTCGGGATTGCTGAGGTTAGGACTCTGCAGCAATGCTTGTTTTTACATTTCCAAGCAAATACCAAAACCTTCAGCAAAGATTGGGTTGGTATCAATGGGTTTTTGTCTCAGAACTGTATTGTAGATCCCGGAGTTTCCCCCAGATCCATCTACATCAAATTTGTAGAAGTTGAGAGGGATTTTCTTTCTGCTGGCTCTTTAGTTGAGTGCCTGGAAAAAGCCATTGGATACCCCTTAAAATTTAATAACTGAATGTCATCCTTCATAAGGATTTGGGCTCTTACCTCCCTTTTCTCTACTCATTTCCTATGACCCTGACGTCCCTCATCCAGATGCTGCCATCAGACTTTTCATGGAAACTGTCTCCACAGTTGGGCCAGTACAACTTGTAAGGAATCATAGTAGACTTTGGGCAGAAAAGCAGACCTCACCTGAAAACGCTCATTTTGAGCAAAAGCAAGTCATACAATGAGCTTGCTTGGTGGGTCAGCTGTTGCTTTTTTAAAAACAAAAAATTTTTAAATGAATTTTAGAGCCCTAATATACACAAATGTAGGTACATTCCATATTGGACAAAACTTATACTTTGAGTTTCATATGAAATTGAAAAATTGTATTTTTTTCACAATGTTTCATTTTTACACATCTCTATGTCTCTATATAAGTATTATTTACAACCCTGAATAAATAAGCAATAGATAATGGCAAGTTAAATCTTGAGTCACAGTAAATAAGACTGTTTTTCAATATCACCCTTAGCTACTATTGTATATAAGTTAGAGTTTCATTTTTTTCACCAACCAAGTGTTTTGCTATTCCCAATCAGTGTTGCCTGCAAAGAGCTTTGTTTCTGTGATGTACCAACTTTACGGTTGTGTTGCCATTTAAACTTTTTAAAAATATATATATTAAAGTAATTCCTGGCCTCTTGGCGTACTAGTTGAGCTTTCTGTATCAGAGTGTGGACGCCCTGGCGTGGGGACTGTGCTCTGACTTTACTGCTAAGAATGACCAGAACAGACAGGGCAGGCGATCTTCACTTTCATTCCTGTACCCCACTGACCAGCATCATTACTTCTTGTGAGAATATCAAAGGTCATGGGACATTTCGTTTTGTATTTCTTTTTTAAAAACTTCTAGGATATTCCTTCTGACCCTAGTATATGACTTTGTAAGAGACTTTCATTCCTCATCTTTACACTCAGTAATCAGGAGTATTAAACTCAAGGGGTAGAAGTGGAGAATTATCATGCTGCCTGTAAAAAAGGAAAGAAGATCCAATGGAAACATCCAAAAATCTTTGAAAGTGATCCAGAAGATAGGAAATTGTAATTTGTCAATTCATTATAACTATCACATTTAGCTCTTTCAGAGATTTCTGTGGGTCAACTGGCGCTCCACTTAGAGGTTAGTACTCTTGGCTAAGAACTAACTTATAGTAGGGTTGTCGAGGATCACTTTGGTCTATGGTGGAGACTTGTTAGATTGGTTATTTATCTTTAATGATCCCCCACATCTCTCAGGTGTTCTATTTTAATTGCCTGCAAATCCAGGTAAGAGCTATAATTTTCCATTTTTCTGTACTATTGAAGATAAGATTGCATATTGATAAAAAAAAAAAAAGAAAAAATCTTCCCTGCAACCTGAATGATCTGATCCCAAGTCAGTGATTTTCTCATTCTGCTACCTCTTGGTTGGTTGATGCTTATTTATTTTTCTAATGGCTAATAGAGAGCTTATAATCAATGGGATGACTTTTATTGATGTCATTTGAGTCCAGGCTTAGGAAGTTGGCTGTTTTCTGATGTGAACAGCTAAAAATGGATGCCCGCTAAGGGAGAGTATAGATATTCTTGGAATTTGAATGGAGCACCTCTTCTTCCTGAGCACAGTCTGTAAGTATGGGCCTTATGAAATTCTCATGAGTTTGCTCTTTGGAATTTGGAATTACGGTCCTGAAGGCTGAGGCTTCACTGATCATCTTGTAACAATAATCTCATAAAATTCAGTGCTAAGTGCTGCAGAAAAATCATGACCAGAAGTATTATATGGGTGTCCAAAACCTTTGCCACTGACCCACCCCAAAACTAACACTATGCTTCAGGCATTTTTTTCCTCTGTCCCGCTTCCCATTGCTATTAGTTACTTAGCTGGGGCAGAGCATTTGGGGACCATTTAGTGAGGATGTTTGGATCTACTTAAGATTACTGAGAATGGAACATTGCTAGACCACTGTTAGCACCCTGGGGAACATGACAAAGACTGGATCTGGTATGTGTTTTTCACCATTTGGCTTGGGATGGGTGAGGGCAGGGGTAAGAGGACCAAGCGGAGCATTGGGAAATGGAGGCTTGGAAAGAAAGCAGCTTGCTGACACTGAATATCCAGTCTCAGACCAGAACAATCTAGAGAAAAGGACAGCAGGGATGATAATATAAGCATTGTTAAAAGCAAAATGTAGACTATTTAGACCCTAATGAAGTCTTTTAACTGATTCAAGGGGGATGGAGACACTATACTCAAATCTAAGATTGGCATCAGAAAACACTTTAGAGATACGTATAATTGGAAGAAAGCTAGTGATTTGTCAGTGTCTTAACATATGAAACTATGAGCTTAGCTCTTGCATGCCACGTGTTTATGCAAGCAGTTTCCAGGTCACTTTCAGATCATCTGTGCCAACATTCTCATTTTATACAAGCAAAGGTAGAGAGCAATGTTCACCCCAAAATGCATCTTGGCAAAAACTTTCAATAAGTAATGGAGCTGCTCTGCTAACCTCTGCCAGTTATTGCTGCCTCAGGGTCAACAGAAAGAAGTGGTGGGCATAGGAGATAGTATGGAGAATTCTTTGATTGGGCTGAGGGCAGTGAAAGAGTCCTGAGGGGACCCTGTGTCACATGGAGGGATTTGCTGCCTACAAATCTTTGGTTGCAACTTTACTTCGGATGTTGCAAATTATTTGGGGTTCGAAATAGTAACCTAAAAGTTAGCTACAGAAGGTGAATGTTGAGGCTCTACCTTGCGTAGTATTGATTGGGGGTGAGCACAGCCTCTGTAATTAGATGCTTTGGTGTTCTGGGACACAATGAAGAGACTTGGTACTTCTTGGGAAGAGGTACTGATTTGGGGTAACAACCCTGGTCTGGAAACACAGAAGGGATGTTTACAAGCAGTGGTTTGAAGTGTAGTCAAGAAAAAAAATTTGAGTGTGACAGAACAGAAAAACCAAACCAACATCCTTCCCCCCAGGACACAACTGCACACACACAGTCTATTTGACAACTCCAAGTTTGTAGGTCCTTGCATAAGGGTATGAGACTGGCAGTTACCTATTTTTGTTGCCTTTGCTACCAGTGAACTGACAAGTGTTAGATTCCAGGGGTTGCAGGAGCAGTCTAGTGTTTGCACAGGCATTTTTCAAACCATTTGCATGGCAGGTATTTGAAGAGTGGCCAGGCAAGTCACACTAGGAAGAAGCTGCTTGAGAGGGTGAGGCCGGGTAGAAAAGGATGTTGTGGTGCAGGCATAAGGACCACATTCAGTGTTAGAGCAGAGCTGTGCAGAGTAAATGAAATCCTGGAGGCCTGGCTGCTTTTCTTCCCAACCAACTGCCACCCAGAGCAGGTGGCGCCAGGAATTCGCTGTTACCCTTTCTGTCCTCTGTGACCTTTGCCCGGTGGTTGAGCTGTGCCCGGATGTTTGAAGCATCTTTAATTTTGGCTTTTGGACAGAGCAGCAGAACAGGTGCGTGCCCTTCCATAAGGGAGCTGCGGCCACCAGAGGGCGCAGAGGAGCCTTTTGACCGATTGGCTGGGGGAGGGACAGTTAGATGAAATTCACAGCGAACAGGACCTAGTCCGGGAATTAAAGGATCAGAGTGGGCCTGAGGAGGGATGGGAGGCAGCAAAGATGTGGGGATAAGGAAATGCAGGGACTTGGCCCAGTCTGCCTTCGCGCAGCCCCTTCTTCCCCAGTATAGGCCTAAGGCCTATAAGCCATTCTTTCCCGAGGCGAGGAGCTGGCAACCGCGCTCCTGGGTCCTCGGGTTCCTGCCCCGCTCCGGGGACTTACTCGCGCCAGTCCTTTCCTTCCTCGGGGTCTCCAAGCGCAAGAGCGGGTGGCCTCGGGCCTGGGTTTCAGGGCGTCTCCGAGAGCCTGCTCAGCCCCGTTCCGCCGCGCACAGGTGCAGATGGCCTCCAGCAGGCTCGGGTTCCGGGTCGCTGGCGGGCGCGGTGCGAACAACTCCCGCCCCGTTCCCGGGACCCAGCCGGTCCCCGACCCGGGGAAAGCGGTCGTTTCGCGCTCAGAACCGGGCACCGCGGCCGGCACCCTGGCCCTTTCTTGCCTTCCCGCCCCGACGCTGCTGAGCCCCAGTGGTCCCGGGAAATCTCGGCTCCTCCTCCAGGAAGGCGGCCAGCTCAGGCCGAGGACGGGGGCCCCACGCTCGGAGCCGGCTAGTCGGGCCACTGCCCCGGCCGTTTAGGTCAGAGGTACGGTGGCTCCCGGACGTCGGATAATCCCCAGACCTCCTTGCCTTCCCGTCCTCCTTCCACTTCACACGGCGGAGGAGGAAGAGTACGGCCCGGTGACAGAGTTCAGGACCCTTCTCTTTTCCCCTAGCCCCCGGAGGGCCGGGAGGGCCCCGCGACTTACCCGACCCACCCTGCGCCCTGAGCGGGTGGAGGCCCCGCGCCACGACCGTCGGAGGGCGAGGAGCGACCCCCCGCGGCCGCTCGCCTGCGCGCCCCGCCCGGAGGACCGCGACCTCTCCGCCCCCTCGAATGCCCCGCCCTCCTGTCCCCGTCGGTCCCCACCCCACCACCGGCACACACACGGCACAGACTCTGGCTAGAGCCGCCGGTGGCGTCAGTGGCCCGGCTCCCGCGCCCGCTCCGGCTGTCGGGCGGCCTTAGCACCTGTCGGTCGGTGTCTCCCGGAGTGCGCGCCCCTGACGCCGTCGCGGCCCGGGAAGGCCATGGTTTCCCTGCCCGGGCCCCCTGCTACCAACTTGCTGCGGTTTTTGTTCCTGGGGCTAAGTGCCTTTGGTGAGTGAAACCCCGGACCAGGGGACGACTTGAGATGGGCGATGGGATGAACCCGCCCCTAAGGGAGGTGTTTGGGGTCACTGATGAGGAGCTGGCGGGATGGGACTCCCCCCTTTCACTCTTGCCCTTCCCTGCTACACACGCCCCCACCCCGTCCACTCACTCTAGGCATCACTGGCGGGTGCTGACCTCTGTCCCCTCAGGTGCCGGGACAGCTCCCACCTCGGGTGAGGTATGAGTGGTGGGACACAGGGTTAGGGCCTCTGCCCAGGTAGACCTCTGGGATGAGCTGTAGGAACCAGTCCTCACCCTCGCTCCCCACCACCACCCAGCAGGGCCGGATGAGCTGAGCTGCTGGATGAGACCTGGCTAAAGAGCTTAAGGACTTAACTCCAGCCGCTCTCAGGCCCCTGCACCCTACACACAAACTAATGTGCTGGAGCCCCGGGGGAATTCCCTGGGCCCGGGCTTGACACCGGGCTTGACACACGCATTTCACGTCAGTTCCCCAGTCCCATCCTTCCCCTTGCCCTGTCCTCCTCTTCCTGCCCTGGGAATCAAGGGAGGTGCCCCCAAAAGCATGACCGTGAGGTCATTTGGGACACAGGAAATGGGGGAGGGGTGCAGATGCCTAAAGGAACAGAATTGTGACCCCCCTGAGTTGTCACCACCCCCATTGGTTCCCAGAGCCAAAGGGACAAAGGAAATAGGAGGGCCTCAAAGAGCCTGAGAGCAAGGGCGCCTCCCCGGAGCAAGTGCTTCAGGCGTGTTGAGGGCTCCCAAGAGCACCCAGGAGCTGGGGTGGCCCAGTGGGGAGAAAGGGACCCAAGAAGGAACTAAACCTACTGTCAGAGGCTTCACCAGCTGCCTCCCAGGCTTCCTTGCCCTCCCTTTTCTGGGATCCCGAACAGCCATACAGGGTGGGTTTGTTGAGATTTAACTCCTCCCTTCTCTCCTGTTGGAAGTTGCCAGGGCAAGTAAAGCTTGGGAAGATGTGGACTGGAAGTCAGCCGCAGTGATGGGACTGAGGTGGGGCTCACCCAACTCTCACCCCTTCCCCCTTTAGGTTGTTCTGTGCTGCCAGGGTGTTTGGGCATGAAATACTAGGGTTCCCAAAGTGGGGCACAAGAGCAGCCTGCCAGCCACGCCAAAGCCTAGAAAGGTTCCTGCCCCTCTAGGCTTGGCGGGCCTGCTCCTGGTGGGTAACTTCACAGGCCCCTTTCCCAGCTTCAAAGTCAGGCCCCTTTCCCTTCTGTGTTCTGCTCCCAACTTCCCACGTCCCCCTTCCTGCTGGGGGTCTCCAACTCCCTGGAGGAAAGCCCAGGTTTGCTGCTTGGCCATCTTCTGCACTCGCCTTCAGTTCCTCCTGTTCCTATCCTAACTCTGAGCCTCAGCGTTCCTACCGATGGCCCAGGCTCAGCGTCCCTACCTGGCTGCCCCGGGGGTAGCTGGCCTCTCTCCAGGCGCTCCGGAGCCGCCAACAGCCCTCGGCCGGCTCTGCCCACCCGACCCGGCTCTCCGCGGGCCCTTCTGCTCCGCACTGCGCCTCGGGTGGTTCAGCGCTGCTGCCCCTGGGGCGTGAGAAGCCCGCGGGGGGAGTTTCTCAGAGAAGGAGGGAGACTAAAAATAGTAGCCCGGGGAGCGGGCCCATTTTCCTTCTCCTTCGGCCCTTGCGTGCTCCCTCACTCTGGTCTCAGAGGGGGCCAGGAGAGCCCCTTTCTTGGGCTGCTCGTGTCTCCTTCACTTAGACCTTCCACTACCCCTTCCCCCTCCCTATGTCACCGTGAACCCCGAGGGCGGAAAGGGCCAGAGTTGAAAGGCTTCTGCTCCTGCGAATACCCAGGACGCAGGGCAGGAAAGCCTCCGGCCCTCCTAAGCGCCAAGTGCCTGACTGGGCGCGCAGGACAGGGAGCATCTGCCCAGACCCCCCAGTATGTCTCTTACTATTTTACCGCCCCCTCCCACCTTGTGCAAAGTGGAATCATAAATGCAGGGTCTGGGGGGTGGTCAGGACGCCTGGGGCCAAGGAAGCTCGCGCCTCTCCCGGCCCTCCCGGCAGGTTGGGTGGCAGGAACTGCTTCTGGCCGGGGGACTGAGCTGCAGGAAGGCGGAGACGATCCACCCGACCGCCTCCCGGAGTCCCCGGCCTCGGCCAGGCGGCCAGCGGGCCGGATCCCAGGGGGCGTCGGCTCCTCGAGGCCGAGGTTGTTTTCTCCCGTGGCGGCCCCGGTCTAGCGGCGTCATTGTCTTCTGGCTTATCACCGGGTACAAGTTTCCTGGCCGGCCCTCAGGGACCCGCCAGGAAATGGGAAGGGGGTGCCGCGAAGGCCAAGGAATAGGGGTGGGGGGTCTAGAAAGACACGCAGCCGGAAGGCGGTGGGGGAGGCGCGCATCCTGGCCGGATCCGCTCCTGGGCCCGCGGAGGCCTTCAGCCCGGCTCCGGGAGGGCGGGAAGCCGGGCCTGCCTGCGGCCTCTGCCCGGACGCTGGCCGCCTGGTCACCACGCGGAGCCGGCGCCTCGGGCCCCGGTGCAGAGTGCTGGGGCCCAGGAGGAGCTGGCCTCGGCCCGGGGAGGCCAGCACCCTCCTGCAGCCTGGCCTGTGCAAGCCCGAGTTATTTCCTCCGAGGGTTTAGGGGTTGGCTGTTCCGGTGCCTCTCGGGAGGGCGAAAAGTGAGTGTTCCTGGACGCCGCGATGCCCGCACTCATTTAATAGGCCCCTACTGGAAACCAACACCTCAGGCCACGTCCTGCCTGCCGAACACAAGCTTTGTACCTGATTGTCAGGGCCTTTAATGCGTGTCCCAGCTCTGCCCTGATTCTCGGCGACCTCGGAGGACGCTCCCTCATCCCCTGGACCCCCAAACAGCACCCTTTCGGGTTCTTAACTCCCTGCGTTCCCTGCTTGCTCACGTGTCGGGCCTGAGCAGCAGGCGGGGAGCAGTGCAGTCGCGGGGCGAGGTCGGGCGCCCACTTCCATCGCTCTAGCTGGGAACAGCTCAGAAGAGCCGCCCACGGAGTTAATCAACAACCCCGCGGCCTCCCCACACCCTCCGCGCATCTGGCTGAGAGACGCAGAAGCAGGAGAGCGGCGATCGTGGGCAGCGCCCCGACTCCTTGGCCCCCGCGGGGGGAGCTGGAGGAGCACCCGCGCTCCGTAGAGTGTAGATTACAAGTGTTAAATCTGCCCTTCCCCTCGAACGTCTTCCCCTCGAACGTCTTCCCCTCCTCGCTGGCATCTGCCTTCTCTTCCTGGTACTCCGAAATCGGCTCCTCTGGATACCTTTTTGTGTTTTTTTAAGTGCATAGAAATGTGTCCCTATCCCTGTTACAAACCCACGGGCTGCGGCTGGAGAACAGGCTCTGATGACACTGAAAGCAGGACGCTAGGTCAGCGGGCCCTGGGCCATCTTCGAGGCCTGCGGCGGCGGCGGCGGCGGGACCCCGCCGGGTTTGTCTTCTGCGCTGCCGCGCGGAGCCAGGAGCCCAGCTCGCCGCGCTCATGCCTTCTCGCTCTCGTCCCCAGCGACCCACTCGCGGGCCCAGCTGGAGGTGCACGTGCCCGCCGGCCTCCACCGGTTGCAGGCGGTAGAAGGAGCCGAAGTGATGCTCCCGGCGTGGTACACCCTGCGAGGGGAGGTGTCCTCGGCCCAGCCCCGGGAGGTGCCCACCGTGATGTGGTTCTTGGAGCAGAAAGGGAAGGATCTGAACCAGGTGAGGGAAGAAGAAATCTTCTCTGCCAGAGGCTGGCTGCTGGGCAGCCAGTGGGAGGGGTGGTCAGCGACTGGGGGACCGGGAGGGAGATTCAGGGAAAAGCAAGGTCCTCCTCATCTGCTCAAGTTTTGTTTTGATCTTGGAGGCTTCCCGAAAATAGTCTCTTTTTCCAGCTTTTCCTAGCAATCCAATACACAAAACACTTCAAAGTGGAGAGACATTTTATTTTGCTGTTGGGGTCGGGGGAGGAGCGAACATTGAGGGCTGAGGAAAGGTGAGGGCCTGTATCGCACAACTTTTCAAAGCTGAGCATCTTCCTGTTCATAGTCTCTGTGCTTTGGTGGCCTTCAGGCCACCTTTGTTCCCAAGTGATTATCTGTCCTGATGTCCCTTTGTACTCCCCTTGAGAAGCAAGGGGCAGTCTTTCCCCACAATCTCCTACCTACTCTCCTTCTTTACATCACATTTATACTCAGAGGCAGATGTACCCAGAAGCCAGTGAAACTTCATTTTCAGAACTCCTTACTTGCACACACTCTTCCAAGGGCCTGGAAAGGGTGTTCAAGCGGTCATGGCAAGTAGCAGATATGTGTGAAAGGGATTTAGATTGCAGGGTAGATCCAGGTGAATTTATATGTGTGTGTGTGGGGGGGTGTCTTCAGGTAAAAGAAGATAAAAGATATTTTTAAAAAATCTTGGCTCTATCCCTGCACTCTATCTACATTTCCTTCACACATACTCCCTATTTACATTACCCCTTGCCCTATACCACTTTCCTAAATACCCCAAGTGGGAGACGAAGAGACATTGTACAGGGGAACAAGAGCTGTTCTGGTGAAGATGACCCAGGAGTGGTGAGAACAGGCTAGGGAGATGGGGTGAATGGGAACCAAATACAGGTTAGAGGGGATGGGTACAGGTGGGGGGCACTTGACGATGGCTAGTTTGGGGTAGGGGATTAGCTGAGCCTGTGGGCACAGTGCATGCATGTAATAATAACAGGGAGATGTTATGTCCCCCACCAGGTGCTGGCATACATCGGTGGGGTCACGACGTCAAGCAAACCTGGAGTGTCCTTTGTCCACTCCATGCCCTCCCGGAATGTGTCAATGAGGCTGCAGGGCCTCCAGGAGAAAGACTCTGGCTCCTACGTCTGTTCTGTGAATGTACAAGACAGTCAAGGCATAAGTAGGGGCCATAGTAGCAAAACTTTAGAACTCAATGTTCAGGGTAAGTGAGAGGCACACACTTTCCAGGAGCTCCCCACCCCCAGGGGAGGTCGGCAGGTCTCCATCCCGAATGGCTGAGTAGAAAGGTCGGAGGAGGGGCAGAGGGGTGTGTGGGGGAGTAGGGGAGGGGGTCTGCTGGTCTCTTGGGTGGAGATTTTAACCTGTCTCCCCTTCCTCAGTTCCTCCAGCTCCTCCATCCTGCCGTCTCCTGGGCGTGCCCCGAGTGGGGACCAACGTGACCCTGAGCTGCCACACCCCAAGGAGTAAGCCTGCTGCCCAATACCAGTGGGAGCGGCTGCCCCCATCCTCCCAGGTTTTCTTTGCACCGGTTTTAGGTGAGGGAACATGTGGAGACAACTGAGACTGTGACTGAGGTGGGGGAAAGAGGAGAGCTACCAGTGGGGCGGAGGAGAAAAGGGGAGGTGGTGCTGGAAAGGACTGGGGGCAGAGGACAAGGGTGTCGGGGGAGGAGGGGCTGGAGAAAGGGGGCCACCAGGGGCAGCCCTGTGCTGGGTGCTTCTTGCCACAGACTTCTGTTACATAAGAGGACAAATGGCCTAGTGGTTCTGGAGGTGGATTACCTGTGGTCAGATCCCAGCTCCGCCACTCACTAGCTGTGTGACTGCACTGCCATTGCCCCGTTTGTAAAATGGGGGTATCAATAGCCCTGACTTGAACACACCACCGATAAAAGACATTTTGGGGCAGTTGGAACATTTTTAATACGTAGTCCTGTATGTTTTTAGAGAATTATTATTTATCAGGTGTGGCAATGATGCTGTAGTATGTGAGACAATGTCCTTATTTTTTGGAGATATATGCTGAAGTGCTTTTTTTTTCTCTCAGAAAAAGAGAGAAGTGAAATAAGTATACCAAATGTTAGCAATTGTTGAATCTAGGTGGTGGGTAATGTATTTTCATTTTGTCCCTTTTTCTACTTACCATTTGACCATTTTTAATAATAAAAGTTTTAATTGTTTCAAATAGGGCTTACCTCTTAGGTTTGTTGTGAAATTTTCGTAGGTAGTACACGTAAAGAACTTAGCCTTTGGTGTTGAGTAAGCAGCCAATAAGCTTTGTTATAATGCTTATTTCCTAGAACTCTTTTAATACCTTCAAATAGGTCATATTACTCCCATTTTACAGATGAAGAAATTGTGCCCCAGGGATAGCAAGTAACTTGTTTGGAGTCACATGGCCTATTCAGAAATCCAGGTTTTCTAACTCCTAGCCTAACGTTCTTTCTCTCTCCCCACATGGCCATTCAGAAATAAAAGCAAAAATGGTATTTTGGCTTTTCTGGGCATCATCACCTCCTTAGCCTCCTTTCAGGCATCAGTCAGGAACGCTGGATGGTGGGGGCTGTGAGTTAGCAGTTCTGCTTAGCATGCTGGCTGCCACACCTTTCCCTCCATCAGGGAACAGAGTTGGGTGTCATAGAGTCAAAAAGGACATTCCAGACGAGGGGCAGGACTTTTTCAATGGGAAGGAGGGGCCCCAGACTGATGGCTCTCTACTTGTGTCCACAGATGCCCTCCGTGGGTCTTTACGCCTCACAAACCTTTCCACTTCCATGTCTGGAGTCTATGTCTGCAATGCCCGCAATGAGGTGGGCAGTGCCCACTGCAATGTGACCCTGGAAGTGAGCACAGGTCAGTGCGGGGTAAGTGCCGTGAAGGAGAAATTGGCCATCGGTGGGGGTGGGGGTGCAGGAGAGTGGATGAGGCCTTTCGTTTTTTAACAGGACAAGGAGCTCATCCTGGTCCAATGTCTGTACAAATGTTTGGTCAGTGACTGACCGTTTTCTGCTTGACAGCTACCCCTCTTCTTAACAGGGAAAAAGAGAAAACAAAACATGTCTGGTAGCAGTGGGGAAGGAGGTTTGGAGAGGGGTGGGGAGCAGCTGGGTGTCTCCTTTTGACAGCAGGGCTTTTCTAGGGTCCGGGGCTTCAGTAGTGGCTGGAGCAGTTGTGGGCACGCTGGTTGGACTGGGGCTGCTGGCTGGGCTGGTCCTCTTGTACCATCACCGAGGCAAGGCCCTAGAGGAGCCGGCCAACGATATCAAGTAAGTGTCCCTGGTCTTTGCAGAAATGGGGTTCTCCCAGCTCCCCTTGCTGAGGCTGGGAATTCAGGCAGCCCTCATCTAATGGGAGGCTGGGCAGCAGCTGAAGCCTCATTCCTCTGGGCAGATTTTAGAGAAGAGGACAGTTAAATAGAGGGGAGGAAAGAATAAGGCATGCTCTCTTCCCCTTTCCAGCTTCTGACCTCTTATTACTTCTTTGATGATTAGGGAGGATGCCATGGCTCCCCGGACTCTGCCCTGGCCCAAGGGCTCAGATACAATCTCCAAGAATGGGACCCTTTCCTCTGTCACCTCAGCACGAGCCCTCCGTCCGCCCCGAGGCCCTCCCAGGCCTGGTGCACTGACCCCCACACCCAGCCTCTCCAGCCAGGTCCTGCCCTCCCCAAGGCTACCCAGGACAGATGCAGCCCACCCTCAGCCAATGTCCCTCAGCCCTGGTGGGGTCTCCTCCTCTGCTCTGAGCCGTATGGGTGCAGTTCCTGTGATGGTGCCGGCCCAGAGTCAGGCTGGGTCTCTGGTGTGACGGCCCAGCCACTCATTAGCTAGGCCACCTGGGTTTGCTCCTGCCTCTAGGGGCCACTCCTAGCACAGAGGTCTGAGTCTTGGGAGTGTCTTGGTTAAGAACCAAACTCCCAGGAGGTAGAAGGAGAAGAGGAAGTAGATGGCAGATGCAGAAGAGCCTCTGCGCCCTCCCCGTTCCTGCAGGGCAACGCGACTGAGATTGTCTCAACCTCCCAGGGCCCTGCTGGAGACCGCCAGAGTCCTCCAGGCCCCTGGATCTGTGCTCCACCCCTACCTGCCATCACCCTTCACTCCCACGCCAGCTCCCTGCATTAATAGAGCCTGCCCTGCTGGTGTGCTTGAATTTTGTTGGGGCAGGGGGTAGGGAAGATATTTTTAAAACTAACTTGAAATGTGTGTTTTTGTGTTTTTGTTTTACAAATTTTAATAAAGATGTAATGTGGTTGTATGGAAAGTGAGAGTCAAGTCACCTTTTTAAACTTAGGATTCCCAGGAGAGGCTGAGCTTCAGGATGGCTTTGCAAAGAGGACCCCTACTCAGGCCTCCAGCTTCGTCTTCAAGGGCAGGGGAGAAGATCCTGACTTGAGCTCCCCTCTCCCAGGCCCCTGAATCCTTAACAAACACATCTTGCCCGTCCACCAGGATCCCCTCTTGTCCAGAGGGAGAGCTCAGGATGGGCTGTGGTGCAGGCCTGTGCCCCAGTTCTGTCTGCCCTTTCCTGCCAAGGCTGGGGGCTCCTCCAAGGCTCAGTTGCTCTGTCCGTACAATGGAGTGGCTCTGGGAGGGGGAGGGGTTGTAGTTTCCATGGAGACCCCTACCTCAGCAAGTGGTGATCAGAAGTGCCAAAGAAGGCATCTCGGAGGAAAAAAGAAGAGGGGCCCTCAGAAGGAGCAAGACTCCCTGACGGGGTCAGGAGGGTCTTCAGCCTGGGGCTCAGGCTCCCAGGGTTGGGCCTGGGACGAGGTCATCTGCCAGCTCTCAGGTCCTCAGAAAGCCTCCCTCTTCCCCAGGTCACTCTTTCCCTCCAGAGTTCCAGCTCTGATCCCTTTCCCCTGGGGGCTGCCCCAAGCCCAGCCCCGTCCCCAGGGCCTGAGAGCTTCAGAGTTGGGGGGAAAAAGGACAGAAGAAGGGAGGGGTCCAGTATCAGGCCTGCCGGAGGGAGGAGCCTTTCCCTACCTGAGGGCGCCGGCCTCTCCCCTTGTTTGCTCTGAGATAGCCAGTCTCGCTCCTGCCCAGCGCGAGGAGGAGGCTGCCTGTGGGCACTGTCTTCCCTCCCCCAGACCCAGACACCCAGACAGCCCGGCAGGACCTGGCCATGGCTGGGCTTCTGGGGACCTCCCTCTGCGGGGCCCTTCTGGGCCTCCTGTGCATGAGTGGTGAGGAGGGGGCCGGGCGGGACGCGGTGAGAGCTGGGGCACCGAGGCCTGGCCTCCGGGCCCTGGGGCTGGGGGTAGGCCGGGGAGGAGGCGTCGGAGGCCTGGGCTGGGAGGGTGCATTGGGCCTCCGGGGAGGGTTTAACCCCCACCGGACTGTTGTTTTCCTTTCCTTGGCAAACACACCCTCATACCTGCCCAGTCTCCGTCCTTTTACCCACAAAAACCCGGCCGGGATGGGCTCCTCCCTCCCGGAAACCTCAGGTTTCAAGAAGGCAAGGATTGAGGGGTGGGAGTTGAGCTCTGGGTAAGGGCAGAAGCCCCCAGCCTCCTCGTGGAGGCGCAGGGTGGGCCGGACCCCTGGCCACCAGAATTTGGGCCCGGCCTCCACTCTGCCCAAGCCGCTGGCCGGCGTCGCCGGAGTGCTTCTCCCACGGCCTCCCTCTGCGCCCCGCAGCCCCTGCGCTAGCCGTGGAGGTGAAGGTGCCCGCTGAACCCCTGAGCGCGCCGGTGGGCAGGACCGCCGAGCTCACCTGCACTTACAGCACGTCGGTGGGAGACAACTTCGCCCTTGAGTGGAGCTTTGTGCCTCCTGGGAAGCCCATCTCTGCATCCCATCCCGTGAGCTGGGAGCACCTGCGCCAGTGGGGGGCTCTCCGGTCTCTTGAGGGGGTTGGCTGGGAGAGGCAGGCGCAAGGGCCTGCCAGGGTGAGGGTGCTGAGTCAGAGAGGGTTCCTTGGTTGGTCACTGTGCGTGGATGCAGACATATGTGGACTCCTAGATCTTAGGACCACAGTGTGGGTTACCCTTTAACCCATAGAAAGCTCTGCGTAACCAATTCCCTCTCCCACTGTTCCTATATGCAACTTATCTATGTTAATGCAGGCCCAGTTTCAGTTAATAAACCTGCTGAGGCTGAGTTGTGATTGATAGTAGGATAAATGCTGCTCCTTTCTGGAATAGTTGCATTATTCATTTCTGTTTTTTGCAAATTGGGAGCCATGCTTAGCTGAAAGCAATGAATCTAGTCATTCAGAAACTGGGAAGGGATGGTATTTGGGGACAGATAGACCTTCATGGTTCTGGCTACACAGTATCAGCTTCCCTGGCTGATGGGAGGGAGGGACCTCTTATACCCATTTTTGAGAGAAGACTGTAGAGTTGATGCCAGGCAGGAAAAGGCACATATGTGTATCTTCTGCTTCTCCCCAGATACTGTACTTCACCAGTGGCCATCTGTATCCAACTGGTTCCAAGGCAAACAGGGCCAGCCTGCTTCAGAATCCCCCCACAGGAGGGGTGGCCACCCTGAAATTGACTGATGTCCACCCCTCAGATACTGGAACCTACCTCTGCCAAGTTAACAACCCCCCAGATTTCTACAGCAATGGGTTGGGGCTAATCAACCTTACTGTGCTGGGTAAGGCAGGCTGGGGAGCCACCGGCTACTCACATACCCTGAATGATCGTACTGATCCTGCTAAACCCACACTCCACCCTCATCCTGATTTCCAGCTCAAGCACACAACTGCACTGGAGACCCTAGGGAAAATATTTCCTTCTGAAAGCCGGCTAATCTAGATGGCCATATACCTTCTCCACCCTCCACAACGAATGCCTCCTTCCTCAGCCCCTGGTAACAAAGGGTTCAAGAGAGAGGAAGACCTTCCCACATATAGGTATCTGAGTCATGTCCACAACAGCTTCCATCTTTGGGGGAACCTCCTGTTTGTAGCTCAGATTCTGTCCCTCCTTAGGTCAATGGCGGAGCAGGCCAATGGCCATTAAAAGAACAAGGGTCCCTGTCACTAATACCAACTCTATGTTCAGAGCTTTGATCTCACTTCAAACTTGAGCCTGCTCAGGGATGCGCAAACAGAAGAGGCTGGGGATGTTTTGATGGTAAAGAAGAGTTAGGAGGTGCTGTATGACAGCTGCATTAAAGTATCTGAAGGGCTGTCCTATGGAGGATTTTTCATTTCTCTTTGTGGGTCTGGAGGGCAGGAATTGGGACCAATGGGTTGGTGTTATATTAACACAAATTTTACTCAACATGAGGAAGAATTCTCTAACAATCAGAATTTCCAATAATGGAAATCATTTTCTGGGAATGCAGTGGTGTGTGAACAGAAGTGGACCACTATTTGGTAGGAGTATTGAAGCAGGAAATCTAGCACTTAACAGGGTGAGGTTGGGAGATGACTAAGGTACTTTCTGTGATTTTTGCAGTGCCTCCCAGCAGCCCCTTGTGCAGTCAGAGTGGTCAAACATCTGTGGGAAGCTCTGCTGCACTGAGATGCAGCTCTTCCGAGGGAGCCCCCAGGCCAGTGTACCACTGGGTCCGCCTTGGATCTTCCCCTACACCTTCTCCCGGCAGCATGGTGCAAGGTAAGGGCCCATCAAGGAAGAGGGGATGCTGGACCTGGGCAAATCTGGTCTCTAGACTTCACACACCTACTGGACCAGTTCCATGCCTGGGGCGGCATGAGGCAAACCACGGAATCTTTTCCCTGCTTCTTCCTGGGCTTTCTCTATTGTGCCACCTGTCTGTCCTCTTGCAGTCTGTGGCTGCATGGTCCTAGGAGCATTTCTGAAGCTAAATGTACTCCTGATGCCCTGGAAGGGAGTGGGAGTCAGGGGGCATTCTCTGATTCCTACTTACCTATTTGGGGGGGATTTCTTTTTGGTTTCTTAAGGGTCATGAATCATTTCCAAACTTCTTAGAGAGGAAGCAATGACTGGCTTGAATCATTTAGCCAGTTCCTTTAGGGGAACTGTATAACTGGCCAAGAGCTTCCTCATGCTGGCTCCAGTGCCCTGTCTCTCCTAGCCCCAGCTCCAGCCCCGGCCAATTCCTTTATCAGTGCAAAGAGCCCCCCAGATCACCCCTGGTGTGTGCTCTGTCTTCTAAAGGGAAGGTAAGCAGCTTAGAAAAGCATTTGGGTCAGCTAAGAGCCATGCCAGAAGATACAGTTTCTAGCAATCAAGACTCCCTCGCCCCTCAAACCAGGAACCTGACATCAGCCAGTAAGCACCCCATCCCAGTTCTACTGGCAGTTTCTGGACCCTTCCTGTGTGTGCAGCCACCCACTCCCACACCAAACAGGCGGCTATGCAGGGTGGGAAGAGCACAGAAGTTCCAATGGCTTTGGCACTTCCTCTCTGGGTCACCTCAGACAATTGCTTTCATTCTCTGGGGCATTTTCCCCACTAATAAAATGAGGCTTGTCCCTTCCTGGCAGGATTGTTATGAGGAGGAAATGAAATGTGCTCTTGTCATGGTAGGTGCCCACTGTGGGTTGAACGGGAGGTGGAACACTTCCTCTTTACCCTCTAGATGATGTATCTGGCCAGCTCATTCTCACCAATCTCTCCCTGACGTCCTCGGGCACCTACCGCTGTGTGGCCACCAATCAGATGGGCAGTGCATCCTGTGAGCTGACCCTCTCTGTGATGGGTAGGGGATGCCAGGCAGAGGCCAAGTGGGCAGGCCTGGGTTGGGGGGGGGAGGCTGCGTGAAGCTATCTGAGAAGGGGCCAAGGCAGGTCTGCAGCTCTGAGGATCCTGTGTCTCCTTAGACCCTTCCAAAGGCCGAGTGGCCGGGGCTGTGATCGGGGTGCTCCTGGGTGTGCTGTTCCTGTCAGTCGCTGCTTTCTGCCTGTTAAGATTCCAGAGAGAGAGAAGGAAGAGGCCCAAGGAGACGTATGGGGGTAGTGAGCTTCGGTGAGCAGGGGCTGGGGGTAGTGCAGAAAGGGAGCAAAGGGCTTGGGTTAAGAACAGGTGACTTCAGCCCTCCAACTCTGTCACCTTTAGGGGTGGTTCAGGGGGAAGGGGTGCTTCTCAGCCCTGGGCCTTGGTGGTGGGGGTGACAGTGTAGCCAGTTTATGTGAGCATGTGAGTATGATGTACAGGTGGAGGGGCTGGTTCACAAGCTGCCCTCACCCTCCTCCTGTAGAGTTTTTACTTTTTAGTTTTTAAGACCTTTTAACAGCCATCAACAGGATATGGATGCCAAGAATTATATTTGTCCTGAGCACTCAGCTGAGTTTAGTTTCTTCAGTGGGAGGCAGTAAGGAAAGGAGAGGCAAAAGCTACCTCCGTTATCCACTTTAGCTGTCAGTCGTGGGATCCAGAATAGGGATCAAAGCAGTATTTCTCAAGGTGTGGTCCTCCGATTACCTGGGCAGAAATCACCAGAAGCTGGTTAAACATCAGATGCAGTTGGAGGATGTGGGTCCTTTGAGGGATGCTTCCAGCCTTCACTAAGAATTTGCCTCTCGCTATCAGGGAGGATGCAATCGCTCCTGGGATGTCTGAGCAAACTTCTGTGAGGGCTGATTCTAGCAACGGGCTCCTGGAGAGGCCCCACTCTGCCAGCAGTGTGACGACCACCAAGTCCAAGCTCCCTATGGTTGTCTGATTTCTCTCCCGAACCCTGAGGGGTACTATCGAAAATTAAAGCCTTTGGGTACCATATTGTCTCCCTCTTCCTTCTGCCGGTAGAGCAAATCCCTGTAGCGGTTGGAAGAGTATCACCAGTAAGGGAAAGGATGGGCTTGAAGTCCCAGTGGTGGTGCTGTAGGCGGTAGTTTGTAGGTGGGCTCCAAGGGGGTAGGTTTTAACCTAGGTTCCCCACTCCTTTTCCCCCCTGCCCTCCCTATTTCTGGTTTGGTCAGATTTGTTCATGCTTTGAGTGGTGACCTTGTGCACCCCAAATACTTCCCCTCAGGCACCCTCAGAACACTTGGACATTCCTCTTTATTGTTCACATTCCAACCCAGCACAGTCACATGCACACACGGAGATAAAAACCTTCCGGCCTCAGCCCCAGGAGCCCGGAGGGGGCGGGGCCAGCAGGAGCAGGGGCGGGGCCGCGGCCGACTCCTCCCACCCAGCCTCTCCGGCTCTCAGCGTTTGTTAAACAAGGGGGAGCTGGAGAGGCTGTTCTCAGGGTGCGGTGGGGAGCGGGGAGGGCAGATCACAGGCAGGCGTGGGGTCAGGGTGTGAAACACGGACTTCTCTTCTGATCAGAGCGAGAGGTATCCGACACTATAAAAACCCTCTTCGCCTCTCTCCTTGCCCCAAATCCAAAATTCTGGGGCTAGGCTGGGCGGGAACAGTACAGAGACGCAGGTCGCCCCCTATAGCTGCGCACAGAACGGAAAGACTTTTTTTGGCGTGTACCTGGGCGACGCTTAGGGCGCCCTCCACAGTGCGCGCATGGAGGCGCACGGAGGCTGCGGAGGCAGAGCGGCATGCTGGGTGCGGGAGCGGTGGGCGAGAAGCAAACGAAGGAGGGCTCGGGAGCGCGGGGTTTGGGGCTCAGTCGATAGGAAGGGCGAATGGGGACCATACTAGCTTGGAGAACTAACTAAAAGGGCACGGACTTAACAACTCCTCGACGGAGCCTGCCTGGGAGAAGGAGTCTCTGGGGACGTAGGGAGGGCTCCTGGAGCTGGCAGGTTGGTGAGAAGGAGATGATCACAAACACGGCAGGGAAGTCTTGTCACTGCGAAGGGGACACAGCATCCATCTCTCCTTGGGAACTGAAGAGAGAGGAGGTCTGAACACCTACCCTCTCCCGGTACCTCCAACTCCCTTCCCGAACTAGGACACCACCGCGAGAAGCGCCCCGCGACCCCAGGCACCCAGAACGCGCCGCTCCGAGTCACTGGGACGAAATGGGCCCGCGGCCAGTGTGTGCGCCGCAGTGTTTTGATAGCCCCTGGCCGCGATGTGCAGCCAAATGGAGGTGACTGCGTGTCTGTGTCGGTCCAGGTGTGTCCCCATCGAAGCCCCAGGCGTCTTGATGTGTCAGAAGGCCCTCATGCACGGTACATTTTCCCCGCCTGGGAGGGGTGCGGGAGGGCAGAGGGAAGGGTTGGGGATTTGGTCCTTTTCTCCCACTCCGGGCTCCTACCCCGCCGCTCCAGAGTTTATTCGGTACCTTTGAAAATGCTCAGTTCTTCGGTCCAGGGCGGGGCGGAAGGGATGGTGCAGAGAGAGACAGGTGAGCTCTCCGAGCCGCAGCGCCCTCAGCCTATCGCCCCCACCCCACCCCGCCCCAGGCCCCGCATTTCTGGTCCCCGCTCCCTCTGTTCCCCTCTCCACCCATCCCCCGGGCACCCCGCCTTCGTCGTCCGCGCTCCTGGGGAGGAGGAGCGGAGGCCACTCCCCGCGGCCCCAGGTCTGGGAAAGGGGGCCCTGCCGCCCTCCTGCCGCGCCCCGCCCGCCTCACCTGGCCTAGTCTCCGCTGGGGCCGCCGCCCGAGCCTCCCCGGACGCCCCCAGCTCCGCCGGGTCCCCCCGGACCCGGGCCCTTCCGGCCGCGCTCTCCACTCTTTATCTTCTTCCGCGCCATGTGGCCTCGGAAACTCGCCTGGATTTTGGCAGCGGCCGCATTGGCGCCAGGATCGTCCAGCGGGATGTCGAGAATGTCGTCGTCCGGCTTGGAGCAGGCGCTCTCCTGGGGGCAGGGGGTACATGTGGGGGGGCTGGGTCGAGACCCCGCAAGGGTGGGGTAGGAGTGGAGCTTTGGGGGATTGAGCCCAGGGCGACGCGCAAGTGGGACGTGCAGAGAGGGGAGTCGCGGGCGGACTAAGGCAGGGCCGCGCCGGTGTGTGCGTGTCCCTTCTGGGCAGCAGCGGGCAAGAAGGCAGGTTTGGGCTCAGGTGGACACAGGTGTGTTCTCAACTGAGGAAAGAAGTGCACGGTGGGATGGGATACACGACAGCCAGGCAGCCTGGAGGGAGCGAAGGGCCCATCACCGTTCGCCGAGGTGGGGGCGCTGCAGAGCTAAGTGGAGGGTGGAGGGATTTAGAGGAGCGAAGTAAACAGCAGCAGGGGCTCCTGGATGTGGCTACCTCTCCTTGTCCTCAGAGGGTGCCTCCCTCTCAGAAGAACCCCTTCTGAGGCCGAGATTTCCTGGGAGAGGGTGTGGAAGAATAAGGACAGTCCTTTCCCTTTGTGAAATCAAAATCACACCAGAGCCTAAAGCTGGAATTAGGGTAAAGCTGGGGCGAGTCCTCAGTAAAGCAGCCTTCCTCCACCTAGTGCCAGAGGCTCAGAGACCTTTTCCGCACTGACTCTCCATTTACCACTGCTCTCCAGGATGTACTTACACAGAAGAGAGGAGATGGTCTGGAAGAAGCTACAGAGAAAAGGCTTCATTCCAAAAAAAAGGACAAAGGACAGATAAGCAGAAGCAAGAAGCCCTTTCCATGATGTGCTCATGAGGAAGAAAGGAGTTAGGACAATACTACCATTTAGCACTTCCCTTGTTCCAGGCACAGTAACATAGTATTGTACAGATATTATTTCATTTAATCCTGCTAACAAAACTATGACATACTTTTCATTGTTATCTTAGTTTACCCCTAATGATTAGACTGAAACTGATGATTAGACTGAAAACCTGCCTGCGGTCATACAGATCAGTAAATATAAGATTCAAACCTTTGTTAAATCAGGGTCTAGAGTATATTTTTAACCCCTACTCTGTAGAATTAGGACAAGCAAAAGCAGTCAAGAAAATGAACCAACTCTACCACCCGCTAACCACATGGTCTTTACAAATGATCTGATCTTTTCTTTTCTCAGCTCCTTCATCTGAAATCAAGATTATAATGTCTACCTCTCTGGGTTGTAGGGTAGAATAAAGAACATGACAGGCACAATCCAGCTGCTCAGTATATGGTACCTATTATTATGATTCTTTTAAATAGTGATAAATTGATGTGAAATAGTTTTTGTAGGCCAAGCATGGTCATATACAAACAATTTTATGTTTCAACCCAATAATAATCAGACCCATTGCCCAGGTTTCTGTTTCTCCCACAGCTTGTCCTAGCCAAGAAGAGAAACGGTTAGGAAATTGATGGCATTGATTTTATCCCCTGAGTCCCTTGTTGCCTAATGTTACTTCCTGTGTTGCAGTGGGTCAGGATGCGTCTCCTTGCTATGGAGCGAGAAGGACATTCCTCCTTTGATAGGACCCTCTGGCTTCTAGGAATTTTCCCTATTTTTTTTGGCCTGAGGACATTTACGGTTTTCACCGGCTTTTGCTTCTTTGGCATGAGATGACCCATGTAGTAATTGAGTTCTATTCATTTCTCCTTCCTGACATCACCCACCCAGTTCACACAAGTGGGATGGGCACAAGCAGGGCTTCAGTATTTACCTCCACAACCAGGTTCTACCCCAGGAGCACAGGTTTAAATCCCAGATGCAGAAGCCCAGGTTTACAAATGGCTTCCTCTCATCATACTTCCCAGGGCTGTCTTCATTTCTTGAGCTTCAGAGTTCTTCAATTTGTGCTCAAGATGCCCACACTTGATTTAAGAGCAGTTACAAAGAGGCCAGTGTGGTTGTGGAGGGGCCCGACACAGTCTTTTTAGTCTTTCTGAGGCCTAGTGCTCTTTCCCCAGCATCTTATTGCCCACCTAAATCAGAAACAACTCTTGGGTTCCTTGATTCTCAGGGTTCAAGCCTTTTTGGGGGTGGTCTCAGGGTACCGTGAAGCTTCTCCTCAAAAGAGGACATTGATTTGGAAAAACAGAACAACTATTCCTGACTCACCTCTCCCCTGCTGGCAGCTGTGGAGGTTGAGTGGAGGACAGGCTATCTTCCCTCAACCAAGCTAAGACCCACCTGCTGGCCTATCCATCCCAGCTGGATCCAGAATGTAAATCTGGGACAACAGGCAAAGCTACACCCAACATGCTGTTCCTCCCTGGAACCAGCTCCCTCTCCCTCCAGCTGAATTCTCACAGCAGAACTGCAACGTGGCCTGTCTGCAGGCAGTGCTAGAGGGAGAGTGAACGGAATCTGGGAAGCCTGGGCTGGTGCCTTCCAAAGCCAAGATCTCACGGTGCACGTCTAGGGGCTCTCAGTGAACTGGGGGGCTCCCGGGGGAGGTGGAAAGTGCACTGGGGGGCAAAACAGGAGCCATGGCTTCTGGTCTCACATGGGCCCATCACTTCACCTCTGAGGGTCTCAGTGTCTTCAGCCATCAACTAGAACTTGGCCTAGATGAATAAAATCTTATTCAGCTCCCAAATCCTAAAAGATTTAATTATCCCTGCCTACTGCTTGTTAGATGCCTGTGCTAAGTGCTTTGCACATATTACCTCATTTAATCCCCATTTTAGAGGTAAAGAAATAGCCTCCGAAACATTTGTAACTTACCCAAGGTCATAGAGCTGACAAAAAGTGATGAGATTCAGAAGCTTTTGCTCTAACCGCTGCCTCAGGGCAGGTAATTATTTCTATGAGTTCAGCTGTACCAAGTCCACGAGACAAAGCAAAAAAAAAAAGGAGTAGGACCCAAAAATATGTTTCTTTGCCTTTTCATATTCATTACTGAATATGATGTGACTGTATACTAACAACTGGTACATCTGCAGCTCTGTTGTCTTAAAAAAAATCTGTTTTCTTCTTCTTATTTCTGTTTGAGCTTCTAGCAAGGGGCAAGAAGGAAATAAGTTTGGACTAGGTGTTTCCCAAACACCATGTTAGGCAGTCAGCAAGGGCAGCCCCAGAATGAAATATGAAGAGAGACCTGCCCCTAGCCCCCAGGTGTGCTCTGTTCACTCTATACAGGCCAGCTCCTTTCTAGTACTGAGCCCACCCTCCATGGAATGGGGAGGGAGTAGGAAGATGCCTAGCCCCAACCCTCGAACTGTCACCCCTTCTCCTCCTTCTGGTCCCCTGCACAGGTGACAATGGTGCAGTCCCTTGCTCAGCCCCTTAGCCCTGCAGAGCCAGGACAGGTTCTGAAAGGGGAAGGCTTCTGTGCACAGAATGCTTAGGAAGAGGTGCCCCAGGGCCCCATGCACTGGCATGATTGTGTATATGTCTTCTCCGTACTGTTTGGGGGCAGCTTCTCCTTTTGCAGAGGACACTCTTCCCAACCATGCCTATCAATCCCTCACTGTGGCTTCCTGGGCACTCAGAGCATGTCCAGGACAGACCAGGGCATGGACCAACATCCTACCCTCATTACTCTTGCAGGTGCTAGTGGAGACTAGTCACACTCCTTCCCTGGCTTCGTGGATTCTTTGCTCTCTAGCCTCTTCCCAGAGACTGTGCCTCCTGCCTTCCCCTCCCCATCATTCTTACTGTCTCAGCAATATCCACCCCTCATATACGGAACCCACCATCTATTTCCTTTCCTTTAGAAAACACTGCTGGGGGTGAAGAGATCTTCCTCAGTGGAGCACAGGAACCTCAGTTAAGAGCCCATTCCTCCCATCACAACCCCAAATTTCTTCCTGGAGAATAACAGACAGAGGGAAAAGACTGGAAGGCAATGTTATCAGGGCTTTCTCCAGGGGCAGAATTGTAGATGATTGACATGCTTCTTTTTTATACTTCATTTTTACATTTTCTGTTATGAGCATATTATCTTTACAATGAGGGGAAAAAAACAGTGACTAGAAGAGGTTAAAAGTACAGCTATCCCAATCAGACAAGGCCATGTTCAAATCCTGTCCCCACACTAAGAAGCTGTGCCTCCTTGGGCAAATGAGTTACTCTTTCTAAACCTCAGTTTGCACATCTGTAAAATGGGGAAAATAATTACCTCACACAGTTGTTGTGATGATTACCTATAAAGTGTTAGGTACATGATAAACAATACCAAATTGACAACCGTAGTTGATATTAATGAGAGTTAAAATCATAACAACCACAAGGTTTTGCCCCTAAATTCTTTCTGCCTTTTGATATCCAGGCATAGTCTCACCTCTTACAAACTGGGCTATCTGTTCCTTCTCAACCGCACTTTAGTTTTCTTTTGTAAGCCATAGGGTGAAGGGTGGGGGGCTGGCAAAGTCATGACCTCCTGTATCATTAGCTGGACTGACTGACTGAGGATACAAGGGCTCTCAGGTCTTTCTCCTTATGTAGAGGCTAAAAATAAGTAAATAATTAAAAACAAACAAATAAATAAACAAATAAATGTTACATGTGTATGGCCACTGCACTCCTCTAGCGTGCCAGGAGCCAGGCCGGGAGATTTCATACAACCTACTTTGTTGTTAACAGCAACCTACTTCGGCGTTAGGCCCTCCGCGCATCCAGGTCTCCCTCCGTGTAGGTGCTGACAAATCGCAGACACTTCCTTCCCCTGCCAGCAGGGCTCCCTCGCGGTCACTTTCCCAGCCCCCTCCCGGGCTGGAAGGCGCTGGGGGCCGGACCGTCCCTCCTCGGAACCACACTAGGCTCTGCCGTCCATCGTCACTACTAAGCTAACCCATATGAACTGGCCATCCCACCCTGTGCTGCACACGGCTCGAGGGTCGTTAGGATCATTCTGTCCGCCCACCGACGGTGGGGTGGAGGCAGAAAGCCGGGGGAAACTGAGTCGCCGCAGCTTTTCGTTGGCGATGGTTTCCAGCATCTCTGGGGAAAGTTTCCCTTCTCGTCCAACCTGCAGCTTCCCTGCTGCAGAGCCCTGAGCTCCCAGTCCAACCTAGACCGTCTGGCGATGGGCGCCCAGACGCCCCCGCGAGTTAGGGAGCATTTTTCCTAGGGCTTCCAAGTTAGGCAGGTGCTTTCCACCACCCACCACCCGCGTCTCAACAGGAGCCTTATTGTTCCTAGGTCTTATGCGCCCACTTGCGCCCCGCACTAGCCCTCCAGGGGGGTCTTGGGAGCCCCTTTGCCTCGAGCCCAAGCTGGATGGGCGTCCCCCAGGCTCTCGAACTTACGGTGCAGCAGTCCATGCTGGTGTCAGGGGTCCTCGGCAGGGGCGGAGGCTGGCGCAGGGCGGGGGTGGGGTCTGTGCGGTGCTGGGTGGGGACTCCGCCGTGGGGTGCCCGCCGACCCGCGCCACCAGCAACGGAGCGCTCGGGTCCCGTCTCCCGCGCTCCGCGTTGCTCGCAAATGTAACCTGAGCCCTGCGGCCGGAGAGCCAATCAGGAGAAGCCTTCGGCGGAGTGGGCGGGGAGATCGGAGGGAGGACCACTCCCTCTCCCGGCTCTCCCGCCTCTCTCCCCCTCCAGCCCCAACCCCTTCGCCTACACACTTCCATCCAGTCCTCCTACACTCCCCAGCCTCCCAAACGCAACCCCCTAGCTTGCTGAGGCGGCAGACTGCCAGGCAGATGTCTGCGGGCGCAGGTAGAAGGAGGCCCCGACATCCTGGGCACAAATACACTCACATCTGGGCGCAACACCCCTCCCACTCATATGTAGAAAACCAAGACTTACCCACCTCCCTACACCTCCACAGCATAGCTGGAGTCCCAAATGTGGCTCTCTAGCTTCCCTCCCCGTCAGTCCACAAAGGCCCCCTCAGACGTGCTGATAGAAAATCCCATCATCATTCTGCTATGGGATGGAGAAAGCTGTCAGTACACAACCGGGTGGTGGGCGCACATACACTCAAAAGCTCACAAGCCCCCCATGTCTACATGCCGTACTCCCCTGGCCCACTGGAATGTGCACATCTTTAACACACAGACACTTAAATAGCTGCGTAAATAGCTACAGAGAGCTTGTACACACACACACTGTGCACATAGATGCAGATACTCTGTTATGCGCACTCGCACACACGCACATGCATACACAAATACGTGCACACAGGCGATCACCCTATCTGAGATGTCTGCATTACATATCTATTATCTGTCTGGCCGTATATCTGTATACCTAGCACCAAACAGACAAAATCATATATGCACAACATCCATTCTATATGTATTTATATATGGATAGGGACTTGGGAGTAACACCCTTACCAGACTCTCCCTAACCTCTTGATACACTGCTTCAGAAAAAGGCGAACACTGACCACTCTCACCCTTACCCCCAAGAAGAAGAAAAATACCTAAGCCCCAGTATTAGGAAATGTCAGAAGTCATCTGCTCTTTGTGTCCATGATGGAGGAAGGATGTGGGCTTTGTGAGAGGTTGGGAAGGGAAGATACGGGAGGGGCATCTTGCAGGAGCAGCTTGCCACTCTAGTGGCGGCCAGTCTCCCCCACTTCTCAGGGCACTACAACTGGCAATGTGGCATATTATGTGGCTAGGGTGGGCCAGCTCTGAGAAACAAGAAAGTCTTTCTCAGCTAAAGTGCCAGAAGAGGAAGGGAAGAAAGGCCCATTGACTGAAGCAGAGCAAGACAAAGAGGGCAAACGGCCTGTGCCTCTGGCTGGGACAGGGGCTCCTGAAATGGCACCACAGTGAGTCCACGGCCACCGGCTGGTCGCAGCATGACTGCTACATGCTTCCCTCCTGCCTGAACTTTCGGGCCACGGGTCTGGCATGCCAAAGGGAAAGTGAGTAGGACGGAAATTCTAGTAGCCACTCAGGATGGGAACAGGGTTAGCCAGCTGGGCCCCCAGGTTGAACAGGATGCTGGCTGGGATTCCAGGGCTTGGGGTGTAGGGGTGTCTCTCCTGGCATGTTTGGGACCCACCCACCCTTGCAACTGAAAATCTGTTCCCCAATCTGTCTCTGGCACATCCTCCATCCCTCCACCTCCACCACATGGCAGGGTGTCCTGGGAACTCAGGCCCTTGCCTAAATGATAGGCACATCTGGGGCCTCGGGTTGTGCCAGTTCCTTGGGACTTCAACTTCAGAATCCAAAGGAGAGAGGAAGGAGGAAATTGGGGGCTGAGTGGATATCAGGCCTGGACTCTGTGCTTTTCTCTTCCCAAATTAGAGCTGAGGAATTCGGGATTTAGCGAGTTTGCAGTAAAGTCTCCCAAGTTGCTAGGCAACATCCCTCTGCAGGCTGCACTGCCTCTGGGCCTTTCTTCCTGCTGGTCAGAGCTGAAGGGGGGTGTCTTTACAACGCACCACCCCGCCCCAAACTCCCACCCCCACAGCACAGCCCTTTCCTCCTCCTAAAAGACACCTTTGTGTGGGGTGAGGTTTCTGCACACTGGCGGGCCCATGGGAGAACGGATCAGCAACTGTCTCTTCCATCCACAAAACAACCATTTCAGCAACAGCCCACTTGAGGCGCCCACGCAGAACTGGCCACAGTGCTTGCCCTGGGGGATGGGCTGGCTCTGAGGTGAGGGAAAGGTAGACAGAGAGGAAGGCAGGCACCAGAATGAGCAGACAGACACTCACAGGCGCAGAAGCAGCAACACGCATGGCATCATTTAAATGGCACATACGCATAGACCCAGAGGCACAGACACCGTCCACACAACCGCAGAGACACATGTTGTGGGCTCACTGCTGCGCACTGACATCCTAAGGCATACACAGAGGCGGACCCCTTCACCACCACACACCAAGGGCACAGATTTCCCCTGCTGAGGGGTTTCTCTTTTGTACCAAGTGGCCAAGGTCAGTCAACAAGATGGGCTGGGTGGAACTCTGAGCCTCTGATTCTTGCATGAGCCAGTGAATTCACAGGAGCAGTGCGGAATGCCTGGCTGTGGCTGCTTTGAGCAGCAGGCTGCCTCACTCTGCGAGGCTCTGGACCTTGGCAGAGCAGGGCCAGATGACACTCCCGAGGAAAGACTGACTGGCCAAGGGCCTGTGTGCCAAGGTCATCCTTGAAGTATTACCTAGTAACCAGCTGGACTGGGGCCCTGTGGTTGTCTTCCTTGGTTCTTTGAATTTCAGAAAACTCTCCTTTATCTTTGCAGGCCCCCAGAGCTGTTGAAGAAGACCTGTGGGACCAAGGAACTGAACGCCAGGTTGGAGAGGGAGCCGGGGCTGCAAGTGGGGTGGGCTGCATGCAGCAGGACATTGGAGGAAGAGGGGTACAATGGAAGCCAGGGTCAGCAGAGGAGGAGGAGGTTAGACAAAATAGAGGACGAGAGATGGATTCATGGGAAGCCTCTGGGGTCCAATATGGAAAGATCCTTTGTGGGGCCGACGGAGAGGGATTTGGAGAGAGCTGGTCTTCGTAAGCAGAGAGCAAAGCCGCGGTACATGGCAAGCTATTTGCCAGTACTTGTGGCTTCCCCTGCTTGGAGTGGGTACCTTCTGAACATAACATCCCAGCTCAAGCCCACAGAGGGACTCCACAGTAAGACGGGGGTGGGGAGTAGGAGGTCTGTGCCTTTTGGTGGAGCTGCTCTGGGGGCCTCTCAGGTCAGGAGTTTACCCATTTGAGTGGAGCGAGTGGGGGTAGCAGGAAATTTAGTTTTCTCTGCAAATATTTCAGCTTTTGCTGTAGTAGTATTTTTAGCAACTTGGTTGGCAGAGGAGGAGCCCGAGTACATTTTTAAAGGGGCCTCTGCCAGACTGGAGGCCTCTTCCCACCCTCACCCCACATGTCATGCAAGAGAGGGGGAGATAGCACATGTCTCAAGGGGTGCATCCAAATTTAAAAACCAGGCTTTCTGGACATTAGGCGGCCATTAAGTCATCTCCACCTATAGTTGTTATCAACACCGTCAGCATCACTACCAGCAACATTATCAAGAAAAGTAAATATTTCTTGAACTTCTGCTATGTGCTTGAGGGGTTTCTCTTTTGTACCAAGTGGCCAAGGTCAGTCAACAAGATGGGCTGGGTGGAACTCTGAGCCTCTGATTCTTGCATGAGCCAGTGAATTCACAGGAGCAGTGCGGAATGCCTGGCTGTGGCTGCTTTGAGCAGCAGGCTGCCTCACTCTGCGAGGCTCTGGACCTTGGCAGAGCAGGGCCAGATGACACTCCCGAGGAAAGACTGACTGGCCAAGGGCCTGTGTGCCAAGGTCATCCTTGAAGTATTACCTAGTAACCAGCTGGACTGGGGCCCTGTGGTTGTCTTCCTTGGTTCTTTGAATTTCAGAAAACTCTCCTTTATCTTTGCAGGCCCCCAGAGCTGTTGAAGAAGACCTGTGGGACCAAGGAACTGAACGCCAGGTTGGAGAGGGAGCCGGGGCTGCAAGTGGGGTGGGCTGCATGCAGCAGGACATTGGAGGAAGAGGGGTACAATGGAAGCCAGGGTCAGCAGAGGAGGAGGAGGTTAGACAAAATAGAGGACGAGAGATGGATTCATGGGAAGCCTCTGGGGTCCAATATGGAAAGATCCTTTGTGGGGCAGACGGAGAGGGATTTGGAGAGAGCTGGTCTTCGTAAGCAGAGAGCAAAGCCGCGGTACATGGCAAGCTATTTGCCAGTACTTGTGGCTTCCCCTGCTTGGAGTGGGTACCTTCTGAACATAACATCCCAGCTCAAGCCCACAGAGGGACTCCACAGTAAGACGGGGGTGGGGAGTAGGAGGTCTGTGCCTTTTGGTGGAGCTGCTCTGGGGGCCTCTCAGGTCAGGAGTTTACCCATTTGAGTGGAGCGAGTGGGGGTAGCAGGAAATTTAGTTTTCTCTGCAAATATTTCAGCTTTTGCTGTAGTAGTATTTTTAGCAACTTGGTTGGCAGAGGAGGAGCCCGAGTACATTTTTAAAGGGGCCTCTGCCAGACTGGAGGCCTCTTCCCACCCTCACCCCACATGTCATGCAAGAGAGGGGGAGATAGCACATGTCTCAAGGGGTGCATCCAAATTTAAAAACCAGGCTTACTGGACATTAGGCGGCCATTAAGTCATCTCCACCTATAGTTGTTATCAACACCGTCAGCATCACTACCAGCAACATTATCAAGAAAAGTAAATATTTCTTGAACTTCTGCTATGTGCGAGGTGCTGCTAGGGACACAGTATCAACGGCTTAATAGACTATATCTGGTAAGACAGGAGAAGGAACCAACACCTCTGACTACTAGGGGCCCTGTGTCATGCTAGCCACCTTACCTACATGATTTTATTTAATTCTTACAACAGCCCTGGAGTCAGGCATCATATTTCCTATTTACAGGTGAAGAAGTGAAGGTTTCTGGAAGAAATTACCTAAGGTTACACCATTATTAAGTGGCAGAGTCCAGATTAAAATTTATGGAAGAATAATAACCTTATCCTAAATCTGAATA